GTAAAGTTTTCATGGCTTTGTTATATCACATTATGCAACGCCAACAGCTTGAAAATTCCATCTAACTATGTAATTTTTGTTAGTCTTGTTTAAGGTAATTGCTTTTCCATTTAAAAATAAAGATAAAAGCTATATTTTCCACGCGAAGGCAACCAGGGACGTAGCGACCGGGGGTGTGTGGGGGGGGGTGTGACACCAACTGGCCAAGAAGACGATTTGAAAATTTCAGGTAAATCCATGAAAAACTGGCGTTAATAAATCAGGTAAAAAATCTTGAAAACTCATAAGGGAAACGGGCAAATAATAGAGGATTGAAATGCGGAAAATAGATAAGGTTTTAATTTATTATGGCTACGTTGATACGTTCAAGAGGTTTTCCGTCTTTGCAACGTGGCCAAGGCTTTATTTTGCAAGAATACAAATTTGAATAAAAAGAATACGTTATTGCACGTCCGTATTTACTATTCCCATCGGCAAAAATAACCAGAATTTTTTTTCGCGAAGTAAATTTATTATTCACTTCCGTTTTTTGGGCGCTTCCGGTTTTGACAAATACTGAAATACATGTGTTTACAAAGTCAAACCACAGTCTACACACAAGGTACGTGCAAGAAATTATATTAATTTCATTATTTCATCTACTTTTTGATAATGATACAGTGTATTTGAAATACATAGAATTATTTGTTTGCTTAAATTGATACAGCAACTCTTTATGTTAATAAAATTACAATATTTTGCGACATGTGTATTGTGTGCAGTGTGCTGTGTACTATATCATATTTTTACTCGTATATAGTTCGTCAATTCTACACAAATGGCCCACTATGGCCGATATATACGCAATATTCGTCTAATATCTAAAGATCTGTCTCGTAGATTTGTTACATTGTTGAATAGTTTAGGTTGAATGAGCCACTACGGGGGCATTGTCCTAGCCTAGTATTACTATTCTCTATATTATACGTGACTGTATAATCTATATCTTTCCGCATTTATATATTCATTATACAGTGAACAGCGTCTTGATGTTAACCCAAGTATAAAGTATGTGACTTTTTGTGATTTGGGGGCAAACAAAAACGAGGAATGAGGAATTCCCAATACTGAATGTCTGACAGTGACAGTCTGAGTGTCTGACAAAGACTGTGGAATGAAACGCAGGAAAATTGACCCGGCCGAACGGACCAATCGAAAGCGCGTGATCTGCCTACGATGCGACAAAGTACTAAACGCAGATAATACGACATATCACCAGCAATCAATACACAAAGGACTGACGCCGAAGTTTCAAGATATAGTCGACAAATCCCAACGGCTCCTGAATTTTGAATCTTTCAAACCTGTCGAACTTTTGAGTGAGGTATAATTTGAAAATTTTTTATAATAATATAATTGATGCAGACATGCAGTAGCCAGACTGAGATTTTGTATAGCTGTATTATGTCTGTTTATCGGCATGTTGCTGTGTGTACTTCGATTCTATTTGATTCCATTTGGAAACAACTAGTGTATGCAAAAAGCAAGACAGACGGTGTGTATAGTCGAAGAAGTATAGAACATTTAAATGAGGTTATGATATAGATTTTATGCTAATACTTACACCATACTAGTCACAATATAATGTATTTTTATGTATAATATCTATTTTTGGATAGTCTATTGGTTCCTGTCAACAGCCAACAAAATGCGAAACAAGTTTACAACAGCTTCAAACACAGTCAAGATCAAGGGAGTCGACTTCTTATGACGCGAGCTGGGCTCCTGTTCAAAAGGAAGTTGATGTAGAAATAGAGATTGACCAGCCGAGCTTGCCCGACGCTGACGTCCACCAAAATATTTCATCTGATTCTGCAACTGCCGAAAATGAAAAACAACAAACAATCTGTTCACAAGCATCAGTTATAGTGTCTGAATCGATTTTTCAAGGATCTGAAACAGCTGAAACGGACGTGAACGATCGTGAATGTCGTAAAATTGATCTTGTATGCACAGAAACTGAATTGCCACCATTGCCAAACAGCACTGCCACCATTCCCGAATTGATGCTTGAAGATACTGAAAATACACTCGAAAACGCTGACAATGTAACGGTGTCATCAACAGAGCGGTATCTCCGCTGTCTCGGTCAGTTACGAAGGAGTTCCGAGAAATTATCTAGCCTAGTGAGTGAAGCAACTGATCAAAATCAAGTCCACTTGAAATCTGCATATACACAACTTATTAGTACTTGCGAAAGAGTTGTAACAATGGTTGAGGACGTGAAAGAGTTGGACTACAAGCAGTCCAGAATCAAACAGAGGCTGAATCCGACATGCTTGAGGATAGCAATCTTATTGAACATGATCCAGCTAGAAGACCGGCAACGTTAACAAGAAACCAAACAAAGTATCTAATCCATCTTGGACCATATCAACCAAAACTATCTATTTATCCACGTAATCTTGAACTAACCAAGAAGGGAAAGCAGAGCTCATTTTCTCAATCATGGTTCGATGATTACCCTTACTTAGAGTACAGTATTTTAGCAAACAAGGCTTACTGCTTCGTGTGTAGTATATTTGGAAAAGAAGGCGATCAGAGAGAAAGATCAGAGAAAGCGTGGATAGAAGGTATCGATGATTGGTCTAAGATGAAAGGCAGTCGAGGCAAAAACAAACCAGGGAAACTACAAACCCACTTTAGCTGTGACGCTCACACTGCCGCAATTCGTGACTATGCTATTTTTGTCCGAGAGGGTAACCATATCGATGAATTATTGTCAAAACAGCAGCGAAGAAGTATTATCGACGACGAAAGCGAAAAAGCGAAGAATAGAGAGGTTATCGAAATGCTTATTGACGTGACTAAAACACTGACAAGAAACGGAATAGCCCTTCGTGGAAACGACTCTGATGAAGACGGAAACTTCCGGCAAATCGTCTACCTTCTTTCACGACATAATCCTGTAATGAAAGCGTGGTTAGAAAACCGTTCGATGCGCAAATACCACACAACGTATCTCAGTCCACAAAGTCAGAACGAGTTTATTAGTCTTCTGGGTGACGAAGTAAGAAGTCAAATAAGCTCTTGCGTAAAAGATGCTGGTTTCTGTTCGGTCATGGCAGACACTACACCCGATGTTAGTCACAGTGATGAGCTATCTGTTGCTGTCCGCTACGTTGATGTAGACTCTTGCTTGCCAAAAGAACGATTGGTGAGGGTGGTAGAGACTAAAGACAAGACTGGAGCTGGACAAGCCGAGGACATTGTGAAGTGTCTGAAGCTATCGCACATACCACTGTCAACTGTTATGTTTCAAACCTACGACTCAACTGCCAGTATGTCAGGAAGATTCAATGGCGCGCAACAGAAGCTGAGTGAGATGTTGGAGAGAAAGATTCCTTACACGAAGTGCACTCCACATGGTGTTAACCTCGTGGTAGAGCACGGTTGCTCAGCATCACCATTAATTGGTAAAGTATTTGCGGTTCTGGAGAAGATTTTTGTCTTCTTCACTGATAGTCCAAAAAGGAATCAACATCTGAAGGAGAAATCTGAGGAAGTTGGAAATTACCTGCAGCTGCGAAACCTTTCCAAAACAAGATGGGCAGCCCGGCCCGAATCTGTGGAAGCCGTTTGGAGAGGTCTAGAGGCTATTTTATCAGCTCTCGACGCAATTACGAAAACTGGCGACCCAGTCTCAAAGACAAAAGCAGCAGGACTGATTAATATGATTCTTAACATCGACTTCATTTGTGGAATAATGTTCTTAAAAAATGTAATGTACAAGACGAAATCACTTGCCGACTATCTTCAAGGAGAGACAGTTGATAGCAATAGTCAAAGCAACAGTTAATAGTCAAAGGTCATGCATAAATAAGAACAGTCTTTAATATTACCGCCTTACGGAGACTTTATATTAATTGTGCTACTCTAGGATATAGAAGACCCATAGGTCCCATACTCGACTAGCAACATAATCAAGTTAGTTATGTTAATTCATTATATATAGGATCAATGTTAAAGGCAAGGTGGGCTATAAGCTATAATCATTTGTATGGCTTATAGAAGGCTAATTGCTGCGAATAAATTGAATAATGAATGGAGCACAATATTAAATAGTTGCATGATGACGTCAAAGAAATTAGTCAGACTACATTTGCAAGTTTTGCAACTCTCATCGTTTAAATTCCCCATAAACAGGAAACAAAGATTACCTTTTACATACCATATATAAAACGGAGTTTTCATCCTTTCTAGAAACTCACTTGGTGAACTTTTGAGCGCAAATGTAATGTATTAAAAATGTATATCATATTCACAGCGGTTAATACCATTAATATATCGCGGGCGCAATACAAAACAAAACACGAGAATTTTAAAATGTTTTGATTTGCAAATAAATAAATAATATTTGATGTCATAAAAATGTTTAAATTTAACTCAACACAAGCTGGTAAGTTCATGACCTGTATAATTTACTTATATGTTGTTATATTGCAATTCTGTACCCTACTCCTTTGAAAATTGTTTGTAATTGCATATGATGTGAACATGTGGTCATGTATTATAGTTGTGTCATGAATTTAATAATACCCCAATGGCTTCGAAATAGACAATGGATGGAAAAAGTCATGAATATTGAGCTTATTTACCCTTTAAACACTTGATCGTCATGCGCATACAGTGTATTGTTTGTTTCCAGAACCCCTCAAGCAGACTTCAACTTTTTTTGTTAAATTGTATATTTTGCTTCATACACTGCATGTGTGTGTGTTTGTGGGAACACTCGTGTTTGGATGCTTGGCATTTGGATGCTTGGCATGCTTGGCATTTTCATTGGAGTCATCAGGGATATAGTTGTATATTCCTGAAATTACCTCTAAACACCTAAAACAGCATTCCCTAAAATTTTAATTTTTTTCTTACATTGCCCTATATCGCTCGACCTCGCATTGCTTAAATTGCAGATTTTGCTTAAATCACCTAAAATTGCTTAAACTCGCATTATCTCGTTATCGCCCCAGAGTAGGGCCTACTGTTGCCATTGCTTTTTAGTCCCCAATACTTCAGTGAGTCATGCTTTGGAAATGACAATAATTTTTTATTACCCAACCCTTGAGTTGTTTTTGTTTTCATTTACCCAACCTTTTACTTACTCAAAATTTAGTTTACCCAACCCTTTTCTCTTCGGTGCCACCCCCCACCATAAATAATGACCGGTC